TGCGTCGCATGCAAGGGACTTTGTTAATAATTACAGGTAAGGTTATGGTTGTACAAAAGATTCATGCTGGAAGTAGTTTTTTTTAACTCTGCAAAAAGTAAGATTCGTCCCTCAAGGTCGCGGGGGCGCCCTTAGAGACCGCGTTGGAGCTCTTCGGCGTCTACTTCGTGGATTTTGCAGCGGGAGCAGGATTTACGAGGCCACGGGTTTGAACAAGGTGGAGTGTACCGTATAGTCTTCTCCAGTGCTCTACGCGTGCGCAAAGCTTTTCGTAAGATTTTGCCAGCTCCTTCCTGGTGTTGTTCGTTTTGCGGGTATGTCATCCCACAATGTTTGGATCCTGGTCATTGGGGGACGCAATCGGAGACACCCATGAGGCTGCTCCGCTCGTTAGGGAGCAATCTGCACGAGTTCATGAGCAACCTCAACATCTTGCACCACAACGTGGAGACGTGAGGGTTTTAAAATACATTTTCTGCTGTGCCCCAAATTACCTAATCCTTGTCAATATCCAGCCGAAACTGTTCTCCTCATAAAGAGCCAGCTGTCTCTGCGATTACCAACAATGACTGTAGGCAGAGGTCCGGCATACTGACCAGTTTTGGTGATTGGCAGAAATATTGGGCCCGATTTGCTGCCGCAGTTGTAAAACGCACTTCGGATTCCCAACGCTCTGTGCTTTAGGAGGGTGTGAAGTATATATCAGGTGAAGACTATGCCCTGCCTCCACAGAATTCCCTGACCCGATTTAAAGCTTAGGAGAGAGATCTTCCAACAGCCGTGTTTCCCATTTTCGAAGTGGGCGACCTGAAACGACTCGATGACCGCAGGTGCGTTTGGGATTAGGGTTTAGGGTTGAGGGTAGTCGAGGGTGAAGGGACGGAAGGCAGGGATCATGATTTGGGATATTTGGTGTAGGGTTTAGGGTTAAGGGTTTAGGGTAGAGAGTACTTTCAGGATCCTTTCGCCATTCCCGACCTCAAGTCTAAAGCCCCTATGTTCAGTAGAAATCTGCAGCTGAGCATCAACTGGAAGCACAGTAAGAGTTGCGGCATTGTTGGCTTTAGGGTATGTTGATCTGGGATACTAGCACCGTTGTGGTTCTCGGTCTTAGTCTTGCAAATTGCATGTTTTCGCCCGAGCTGTCACAATTGCCGCAAGGACCTTGTCCAGAGGTATATGAGGCAAGCGTTCAGAAGCCTCAAATGGCCCAAATGCCCCTGTTACCTGAAACTGTAAGCCCCAACCCTACAATCAGACAGCTGAGGACCTTCAGTATGTATTACTGCTATGGGTAAACTACTTCCCCTTACCAGTTGTTGCCGCCATACTTGTTGTCAGTTAACTCATCCCCCAGAATCCCCTATTCTTATCATTGTTCTTCGCTCTCTTACTTCGACTGTCCTCACCTTTTTTAGTACCGGTGCCATCACGGTTCCTCCTGTTGAATCTGTTCCCCTTCTTGCGATGAGTGTAAGGTATACCTGGGAACTACCCTAAACCCTAAACACTGAACCCTAAATAGCAGCTTTCATTTTTCCATGTTGCCTGTGACTTGCCAGGTATACCTTCAGGATGGATTACGCCAGCAGCCGACAGGGTCTGGGTCCCCTCCTGAAGGGCGCCCTGCAGCGAGTCACCGACAAGCTCTTCTGCTCAGTTTTGGAGGCCGTCTGCGGGCAACCGCAGGTTTTTTCCATTATGACCTGCCTAAGTCCCTAAGTAAAACAATTATATTCAAAATTAGACCTCCTAGCAGTCAAGAAAGCAATGAAATTACAACGAGACCCTGGGTTGGAGGTCTACGGTTTTTTTGTTCTGACGACCAAGTAGGAAGGGGTCCAAGGTTTTTTTTGCAAAGGTGTGGCTCGGTCCTGGTGTGGCTGTGGTCCCTTGGTCCTGTGGTCTTCTGGTACCGTGGTCCTCCGGTCTGGTGGTCCCGTGGTCACCCGGAGATGCTGTCATTTAAAGCATTTGAAACGTTCCAAGACCAGCAAATGCTGTGATTTACAACGTTTGAGACGTTCCAAAACCAGCAAATGCTGTAGTTTACAGTATTTGAGGTGTTCCAAAACCAGCAGATGCTGTAATGTATAGCATTTGAGACAATCCAAGACCAGCAAATGCTGTAATTTACCGCATTTGAAGCATTCCAATGTGACTCAGTCCTCGTGTCGCTCTGGTCCTTGAGTCTTCTGGTCTCAGGGTCCCCTGGTCCCGTGATCCCTGGTCTTCTGGTCTGCTGGTCTTGTCGTCTTCTGGTCCGCTGGTTTCTGGTCCTCTGGTCTGGTAGTCGGTCCCCTAGTCTTTGGGAATGGAGGAAATCTTGTAGCACCTTATATACCCTGTACGCCTTGGGCGCTACGACGCTCTGAGGTTTCTAATTAAGGAATGCAAAATGTAGGACGGCAGCACCACAGAACCACAGGACCGGAGGACCAAAGGACCACAGGACCAGAGGCCGGGACTGCTTCGGACCTGGGAGCGGACATTTAGGCTTTCTTATCGCAGCTAATGAAGCATTTTTTGATGTTTTTCAACTTGTGATGCTGCGCAAAGTTTGGAGCTTATCAACCGGTTGGAAAATTCTATTTGCTGCCTATGCCCGACCTGCAAATTCATGATGATCTGACGATGTGGACAAGATTTGTAGTCGGACTGGGGTAGCATCCTATTCTGCTGCCAAGGATCGACGACAGGATTCATCCTATCAAACAATGGGGAGGAATCGGCCCGAGTCCTTATGATTTGATCCCTAGTTATAGTCCCTAAACCCAATCTTGCATTCTTTACTTACCCAGGGGTTGTGACCCTAAAGCTCAAAGCTGCCATGGCAGCTTTTAAACCTTCGAATCCTCTTCGATTTTGAAAAGTGTCAACAGTCACAAGGATCGTGGGGGTCAGGGGTCGCGATCCTTGTAGCCGTCATTGCTTTTAGACCGTCAGATTTTTTGGGCCATCCGTGCTTGCAACGCAGAAGAAGCATCATGCCATCATAATGGTTTCTGTAAGGGAGTGTTACGCGGATCATTTTGTTTGAAAATGGGGGGGCTGCGCCTCCCCCCATCCCCACCGCTGATTTAAGGCCATCCGTGCTTCCAGTAGAAAAAAAGCATCATGTCATCACCATGTCTGCAGTATATAAGGGAAAGTTGCGCGAATCATTTTGTTTGCAAGTGGGGGAGGCTGCGCCGCCCCCAACGCCCCCGCTTGTTCATAGCCGGCCGACTACAAACGAAGCATCGCGCCATCACCATGTTTACAGCAGGGGAAGGTTGTAGGTCGTGTGGATCACTTGTTGCGTCTGATATTTTCAGAGTATATCAGTATATCGTAAGTCAAGTTTTTAATGTAAAGGGGAAATGCATCTTCACAATAGCTCCCTTAGAATCCTCAATAATATGGTGATTCCTTTTTGGTTCATTTTTCCGTATCAATCAGCACGTACATTGAAAACACCATGCTCGCACCAAAGCCTATCCGTACCACCAATTCCAAAGCCAACTCCTTTCTCAGGGAACTAGTTGAAGGAGTGGAACGTTGCAAGACCAGCGTGCGGTGTAAATTCCTGCGTGCAAAGCTTTCCAAGACCAGCAGACGTCGGCAGTTACAGCGATTTGAAACATTCCAAGACCAGCAGATATGTAATCCACAATATTTGAAGCGTTCCAAAACCAACAAAAGTTGTAATTCACAGTTTTTGAAGCGTTCCAAAACCAACAAACGTTGTCATTCGCAGCATGTGAAGCGGTCCAAGACCCGCAGATGCTGTAATTTACAGCATTTGCAACGTTCCAAGACCAGGAATCGCTGTGATTTACCGCGTTTGACACGTTCCGAGACCAGCAGACGCTGTAATTTACAGCATTTGACGCGTTCCAAGACCAGCAAACGCCGTAATTTATAGCATTTGAGACGTTCCAAGACCAGCAAATGACGTAATTTACAGCATTTGAGACGTTCCAAGACCAGCAAATGCCGTGATTTACAGCATTTGAATCGTTCCAAGACCAGCAAATGCTGTGACTTACAACGTTTGAGCGAATGTTGTAATTTACAGCATTTGACACATTCTACGACCAGCAAATGCTGTAATTTGCAGCTTTTGAAGCGTTCGAAGACCAGAGCGAGCCACACGTTTGCAAAAAAAGGCCCGAGCCACACCTTTCAAAAAAAAAATCCGCTGACCAAGCAAGTTTTCCTCCGTCTGAGGTGTCTGCAAGATGACAATGCTAGATATTTCCGGTTCGTATCCCAAACAGCCTCTCAAGGCCCGGTTTCCTTGACCCTTAGACTGTGCCTTCAGGTTATCATACTTGGCTCTCCTAAATCTTACTGGGAGTTGAGCCTGAATAATTAGCATGGCCGCCCCGTTCTAACACCTCAGAAGGTGATCGCGTAACATTTCTTCAAGCCCAACTCTAATGTTCTAGGCCTCAGTTTATGAATGAAACCTTTAGGGCTGTTTATGCTTACTTGCATGGGTACGAAAGAGGTTTCTTGAAATTGATTCTTGACTTTGGGGTTTTTGTAGATAGAGTTCTATGATTTGGGTTGGTATTTTCGAGGACCCGCTTTTGAGAAATGCCGTGGGAGTCAGATTTTTTTTGCTCCCTTGCAACGTGATGAGATGCCCATGAGGGTATCCCACACGTGGCTAAAAGCTTAATGCTTGTCACTACATGTGCAGTTTTGCAGAAAAGTTCCATGAATCCATAATGCACTGAACCTTGTCTTCTTTGCTGAGACCCCAAAACACGTGCTACAAAGGCGGAATCTGCTACAGGCACGCTATGATGAATCGGCACGAGTTCGTCCATAAGAAGCCTCAACAAATCCTCCAAACCAGTATCAGATATTGCCAGGTATATGCAAACAAACAAAGCCCATGGATCCCAGAAGATTGTTGAAAGTTCGATAGTGCCGTGAGCAGCCCAAAAACGACATTCCAAACCCTGCAAGACATGTAAATGCCTTGTTTTGAAGCCCACTCCACACAGGTCCAGCCCCTTGATGCCGGGGCGAAGTGTGCCACCTTCGCTTCATCAGCTGAAGCCAGCAACGAGCTCCACTGGATGCTGACGGTGGCCTCGGGTGAAGGAAAAGGGAATGGGAAGCAAAGTGGAAAGTAAGATGAAATCCATTTGATGCCCATTTCAGTTTCCATTCTTGCTATGCATAATTTGTTTGTGATTGGTAGGCTTTCTGTGCTGTTCGCGTAACGACGAAGGTTTTTAAGGTTGATCAGATACCAAGCAGAACCTGAAGGGTGTCAGGCAGATAGAGGCTGTTGAAGGTGAGGGGGTTGCGGTGCTGTAGATCGAACGTGGCTTTGGGATTGTAAGGCTTGTAGAGGTTGCAGAAATTGAACGGTGTTCCCCCTTCTTGATTGAGCGTTATCTTCTTAGAGCTTCGTACTGACCAAGCACTCCTGTAGGATGCATGGACACGCTGCTGCATTGCTACTATCACCACGAGTGGTAATTGGCGATGGGAGTAGGAGTAGCAGCAGCAGCAGAGTTCGTATTAGCATGAGCACTTGTACTAATGCTTCTACTACTAGGACACGCGGCCAGGCCGGGCCGTGGTCGTTTTTGGCATGTTTGTTTTTAGCAGGAAAAAAAGATCTCCTCCGTTTTGGCCGATGAACCGGACACAATGCGCAAGGCATAGCCCGTTTAATACTAAAGAATGAAATCCCGGCACGCGCTGCAACTTCAAGCGTGACGCGCAGAATCGTTAAAGGTTCGGAGACGTGTTTCATGGAATTTGGTGGAGCTGCTGTATGTTTCAAGTTGTAATTGCTTCTCATTCTCGCTTCTCATGCTTTTGGCATGGATGCTCTGGTCAACGCTGCACATGAAGTGTGGATGTTAGTATGTTATCATACTACACTTGGAGCATGACGCGCGGTAATTAGCTGCATTTGCTTGAAATATATAGTTATTAGGCTTTGGGCAAAGACGCTTTAGAACTGCGAACAATTGGAATATGAGCATTAAAATATGTCATGAATTGGGCAAGGGGCAAGAAAGTGGGATAGAGAGAGATGAGATAGGAAGTAGACAGACAGAGAGAGAGAGAGAGAGAGAGAGTATGAACTGGGCATGAATGCTCCAGTATTTGCATGCGCAAGCGGAACATCCATGTTTCTGGCTAGAGCATCGTCACTATGCACACAATTACAACATGGGTGTGATCATCTCATTTAGGCGTGAATGCTCTGGTCACCGCATTCACGAACACGAGCTTGTTATGCTCTTGGCGTGTATGCCCCGGTCGATGGAACTGCCAAAAAAGCGGGTGTTGTTTTGCTTTTGAATGCATGCTCTGGCAACCGCATGCAGCTGGAACATGGACAGTACTAAGCAGAAGGGCTGTATAAATTGATGACAACCTTAACACCTTATCAGCATTTCGGAGCAGACCCAAATTCCGCCTGTTGAGGCCTCATGAGAATTTGATGGTATGGTCTGAGAAACAGGCATTAACACCACAACAAAAAACGTAGTAATATGATAGCAAATTGAGCTTACCTCGAAAGCCCTCTGCCGTGGCCGAATCACGGAGGTTACGCAGCCTGAATGCAAGCCTGACCTCGAGGATTCGAAGGCCGCATGCCCGTTTCGTGTTAGCGACTTCGTCCCAGCAAAAAAAACTCCATCCCACCTTTGTTTTTCATTCGCTCTTGTAGCATATGCAGAGACATGTTCAATACTTTCGGGTCGGTACCGGCACTGTACGATCAAATCATATAGAATTTTCTGTTGCAGGGTCCAAGGTTTGGCTAGCTTGCCTGCATATTATCTGCAACGCATTTGCGAGGCTGCGGTCCTGAGCCCTGCATGATAAGTATGGTTAGGGTCATTTGGGCTATAGTCTAAACTCCTTACGGGGGTTTAGGGTTTGGGGTTTTGGATATCTAGGGGATTATATAGGAGACCACTATAGCGCTTATTAAGCCAAACCCTGAAACCCCAAACCTTAATCCCTAACCCTAAAACCCTAAGCCCTTTGTCAAAAACTGCTCTTTAGGAAGCCCACGCCGCAGACCTTCAGTTGCTGGCCTTTGGCTGGGAGTGAAGGACTGGAAAAGAGAATTGAAACTACTACTGGGTTTACGGTTTTAGGGTTTAGGAATAGAAGAGGAAATCGAAACTACTATGATGGGTTATATAGGGACTACTATAAGGATCCGTTCCTTCATTCCTAGCTAATCAAAAGGCCAGGTGGGGGTTCGTAACTTTGCGATGTATAGCTCGCCACACGGGTTGAGGGGATCTTCTTGGAGGTTCAGGGTCATTTTTAACCCAGTTGTAATTGGTAACTGGTACTTGTAACCGCATATAACCCAACTACAACCAGACTAGAAGACTTGGGGACCTCGACTTGGCCTTGAAGTACGGTTACAACTAGATATAACTGGGTTACATTGCCCTGAACCTCCAAGTGGCGGGTTTGGTTCCAGAGTGTTGTAGTGCTTTTTAGATTGAACAGTTTAGCGAACGCCAAGTAGAGCCATGTGTAGAGGCACATACCCTGCTCAACCCTGGACAAAATCCCATGACCGCGAAACAGCAACTGGTACTAGTGCCAAACCCTCAAACCCTTAAACCCTAATCCGCAACAGCGTACTCATGATGTTAGTATGTGATAACCGTAAGAACAGTATGAATGCAGAAAAGCTATTGGTAATAGCAGCGTGATACACGGAATCTATTAATTATGTCGACAAGGTCTTGCTCATCTTCACCATAGGAGTCATATTCGAAACTCCTTACAGGGGACTACTATGTAGGGACTACTACAGGGGTGTGCTACAAGCAGACAGGTCGGAACATCCAAAAGCAGCATAACTGGCATTTGGACAATGCCAGGAAGAAGACGGAAGAAGCGTACTCAAATGCCAAGATATGTGAAGTCTTACAATACAATGCTTGCAGTACCACAGTTCGAAGTCCAGTGCTCAGACCCTAAACCCTAACCCAAAACCCCTAACCCTAAACCCCAAACCCTTAACCCTAAACCAACCCTAAGCCCTCAGCCACATGCCTGGGTTGCAGGTCGAGTCACGGCCAGAGCCCGTGAAGGGGGCGTCTTTCAGTTTCTTCGACCTGCACGCGGCCCGAGCCTTGGGTTTAGGGTTTAGGAACCCCTGCATAGTAGTTTCCCTAGATAAGGGGGACCCCAATATTGACCCCCCCCAAAATCATAATCCTTATGATAGGATTCGCAGCATTTTCACTATTTGGTCAGAATCATAAGTGTTGTAATATACTAACAGAAGTTCTTCTAACTCCGAAGGCTGAAGCAGCGGGCTTCAGACTTTGGGCTTATAAGATCTGCACAGTTTAGGGCTTAGGGTGTAGGATTATGGTTTAGGATTTAGGACTTAGGGTTCAGGATTTAGGGCTCAGGAGTTAGGATTGAGGGTGAAGGGTTTGGGATTCAGGCTTTGGGTTTGCCTTTTATAGGATGCAGCTTAGGAGTTTGCAGGCTTAAGTTTCAAAGTTGCAGTGTAGGAGTCAGGGTATGCCCTCCGGAACCAGGGATCCATGAGTTGGTTCTTTAGGGACCTCCTAAATAATTCTGAGTTATGGTCGTTATAATCGAAATGATAACCAAAATCTTGAATCCTAAGCCCTAAACAGTCAGCCCTGAACCCTAAACCCTAAACCCTAGATGGGGTTCTGAGGCCGGTTTAGAGTTACTTTCCCAAGCACGTGCGCTTTGAGGAGTTGCATTCAGGTCCGCGATTGAGTTTGACGCTTAAGTTTAGGCGTCGGGCTTCTGCCTGAGATGTAGGGTTAGGCTCAGGGTTTAGGGCGGTTGCTTTCAGGTCTAGGGGTTAAGGTCGAGCATTCTGTGGAGTGTGGACTTTGGATCGCTTGCCATCGCTTCCTGTTTTCTGACCTCTTCCTACACTGCGATTAAATTGCCCGACTACCTGCTGGTTGCCTGTAGGGAATGGAGGAATAGTAGCTGCTATATATCTCCCGACAATATGGTAGTTTCATTTTCTCTTCCATCCTTGCATTGCCTAAGAACAACCAGTCAGTAAACCCCTAACCCTCTATATCCCTATACACCCGCAGGTTTCGCTCCATGTTCCACGGGCTTTTTCTGTTGATTGCCAGTTTATTTCTTCGCCACTGACTACCAGTGCAAGGCTAGTTCTCATTTATCCTGAAGTTTGGCGCGCTACCACAACAGCAGTGTCCCAGAGTATTCGGGTTCCTTAGGAAGATTGACGGGAGACCATATAAGAAACAGGCGCCATGCCATCCTGGTACACTAGATGCTTGGTTAGGGGCTTGAGGTTTTTCTGAAGCCCTAAAGCCTATACCCTTAATACCCTTCAGGTGAAGACCCCAACACTTTCAGGGGTTAAGGAGGTGTAGGCGCTTAGCTCAGCCTTAGGTTTAAAAAGGCGTTTAACTCTAAAATCCCTTTCAGCACCAAACTCTGCATGACGCAGCTGCGCAAGACAGAAGCGCACACACTTCTGGAGGCTTTGCAATCAGCATACCCTGTTTCGAGCCTAGGCCCCATGGAAGATGCCAGCCTACATGACCCTTTTCCCTACTGGCACCCCTTCGCCCGCTAGTAACAACAAGTAACTCCCCGCATAAGTTCATCCGTTTTAGATACACACACACACACACGCACACATGTGAGAATACTTTTTTGGGGTCAGGGAATACTCATAGGGGATTGTTTGCTGTGGTTGGGTACAATGGCATGCGTTGTGGGCACATGCAGAAACATTTGCAAACCGTGCAACCCGTACAAAAGGTAATAAGGGCGGCGAGGCTGAGCGTCACGCAAATTCCAATGATTTCCGTGTCTTCTCCAAGCAGCTCTCTGGAAAATGGCGAACCCTAAACCCTGAGTCCAACAACCACCCAAAAAGAGCACTATTTGTTGAAAACCCTGAAGCCTGAAGCCTACGTACCCCCTATACAAACTCATATAACCATTTTCACCTGATATGAGCTATAGTCCAAACTCCTTAAAGGGGGTTATATGGGGGATTCTATAGGGGACTACTATAGGGCCTACTAAGGGGGGTTACGAGGATTTTGCTCCTATGAAGGCCCCCCCCCCTCTGAAACCTCGAAATCCAAGGCTCTGGCCTCCTGTTGCACCTCGAAGATCACGAAGGACGAGGCCGCCCCGGCTGAGACCTCCAAGCAACAAATTTTAGGCCGCCATACATGGGGGGTTTTAAGAAATAGGGGTACCATTTTGGGGGGTCCTTATGATGACTGTAATATATTCGGATCCCCCACTGTGGGGACGCTACCACATAGGGTCTAGGTGTACCGTTTTGCTGCCTGAGAACTAGGGTTGAAGAGCCTTAATCTCCGTAAGTCAGCATTGCCAAACATTCTGAAAGGGCATGGTTCAGTGGTTAAATGTGCGTACACCCTCCCTTTATTAGCCCGGTAAACTCTGGGAGCAGTGGTTAAGGCATGATCTCTTGTACCCGTTTTTGGAGTAAAGGTCCAGGGCCATCATCATGGTCTGATAGCTGCACGGTTTATCGTTTGGGGCCGAACAATCACAGTGAGTTCACTGAACGCACATAGGTCATGATGATGAGAAATGGCGAGCATCTTTTCTGTTGAGACAGGCATGAGGCCCCTACCCCGCTGCCTTCCAGTTGCACTTGCTCACTGGTTCTTGGTGGAGAACAGGGGAATATGTTTTTTAGGGATTAGATTCCCTTATGCCCTACTAAGAACCAGTAAGTTACACGTGTTTCAACTGCTTGCGTGGTTATGAACCAGGCAATCACTGTTGGCAATGATCGCATATAAGTAGACCCTTCTGGTATGACTCCACCCAATGTAGATCTCATAGTGCCTGCTCTGGTCCGTCCGAATCCAAGGAGCCTTACTTGTACATGAACAGTCCTAAGAAATTTCTCAGAGTGATCCTGTAAGAACCACCTCTGCAAATTTTTGATTGTAGCTCACATCACACCACTTCCGCCTATTGCTACCAGCATCCTCACTGCCTCAGTTATGCATTGGATACTGACACCATGAAGTAACCCCGTGACACAGCAGGCAATCCAGCTTATCTGAATTCCATATTACCTAAACTCACCCTAAAACGCCTCAACTCCTAAAGCTTGGGTACTGCCCCCGCTCAGTAACAGTTGGATGATATTTGTATTAGACCTGTCTTAATATGACCCCTGGTATAGACTGTTACTGGGTGTTGGCAGTACC